GCATTTAATAGTAATGAGAACAATAATATGTTGCATTAATCTCATGCTCTTCAGTTATATTCTAAGGTAGGCAAACAGGTATTATTTTAGAGATGAGAAAATCAAGTGACAGAGCACTGTGACTTGGTGAACATTACACTAGTTAGTGACACTGCAAGGAATCTTCCAATCCCAGGTTCTGCATCTTTGGATATTTCAACTATAATGAATTTATTTTTAAAAAAATTAACAAAGTCCCCTGTGTTCTGCAAATACACGTATTCCTCACAAGAAATTCTGCTTCATTTCAGAGAAATCTATTTTATTTTTCAGATGGTGGGAGGGGCAGAAGGAGAGAGAGAATCTTAAGCAGGCTCCATGCCCAGCACGGGGCTTGTTCTCAGGACCCTGAGATCATGACCTGAGCCAAAATCAAGAGTCTGATGCTGAACCAACTGAGCCACTCAAGTGCCCCAAACATTCTACATATTTTAAATGAGCAACTGGATGTTTTTCATATTAATTCAGGACTTTATTACTCTATTGGCTAAATCTAAGGGAGATTTTCATCATATTCTATTAGCAAAATGACACAAAATAGCATCAACTTACTTTCACCATCTATATACACATGCAGTTTTAAAAGTACAGAAAAGCCATCATCTCTCACATTCATACACTAATATTACACATCTTCTCTCTGGAATTCTATATTTTAAGAACCAGAACAAAATATATTGTTTCATTTGACTGAATGATAGGATCTTTTTAGATTTCTCTAAATAATATAAAAATACTCAAGATGGAGACCCTGATATGTGTCCGTGTAAACACCTTAATATTTTTTTAAGTAGGCTCCGTACCTAGTGTGGATCCCAATGCAGGGCTTGAACTCACAACCCTGAGATCAAGACCTGAGTGGAGATCAAGGGTCGGATGCTCAACAACTGAGCCACCAGGTGCCCCAAAACTTTGACAAATTTTAAAGATATTTTAATGTATGAAAAAAGTTGTTTTAAATATTTTTTGAAGATTTATTTATTTATTCATGAGAGACACAAAGAGAGAGAGACAGAGACACAAGGAGAGAGAGACAGAGACACAGGAAAAGGGAGAAGCAGGCTCCCTGTAGGGTGCCTGATGTAGGACTGATCCTGGATCCCCAGATCACACCTGAGCCAAAGGCAGACATTCAACCACTGAGTCACCCAGGCATCTCAAAGTTGTTTTAAATCTTAAGTATTTTTGCTTAAATACATTTTAGAAATAGTTTCAGATATCATTATTTTATAAACAAAAGGCATCCAGACTGGAAAGAAAGAAGTTACACTATTTATATTTGCAAGTGACAGTATCTTGTGTACAGAAAATTACAAAAACCATGAAACAAAGTAACAAACGGGCAACAAATATGTATCTACCAATAATTACTTTGAATGTAAATAGACTAAATGCTCCAATCAAAAGACAGAGGGTGACAGAATGGGTAGGTAACAAAACATGACCCAACTAAGTGCTGTCTAAAAGAGACTCATTTCAGGCCTAAGACACCTACAGATTGAAAGTGAGGGGATGGAGAAACTTCATTCAAATGTATGTCAAAAACAAGCTGGAGTAGTAATAGTGAGATTCGACAAAGACTTTAAAACAAAGTTTGTAAAAAGATACAAAAAAAGACATTGTCTAACAATAAAGGGGACAGTCCAACAAGAAAATATAACAACTATAAATATTTTGCACCCAACATGGGAGCACCCAAATACACAAAATGCTTAATAACAAACATAAAAGAACTAATTGATAATAATACAGTAATATTAGAGGACTTTAATACCCCACTTATGTCAATGAACAGGTCATCCAAACAGAAAATCAACAAGAAAAGAGTGGCTTTGAATAACACACTGGAACAGAAGGATTTAACAGATACAGTCAGAATATTCCATCCTAAATTAGCAGAATACATATTCTTTTCAAGTGCACATGGAATATTCTCCAGAACAGATCACGTATTAGGCCACAAAAGAAGCTTCAGCAAATTCAAAAAGATCAAAGTCATACCATACATCTTTTCTACCACAACACTATAAATTTAGAAATCAATCACAAGAAAAAAAAAACTGGAAAGACCACAAATACATGCAAGTTAAATAACATGCTACTAAACAATGAATGGGTTAGCCAAGAAATCAAAGAAAGCAAAAAGTACATGGAAACAAATGAAAAGGAAACCACAATGGCCCACCTTTGGGATGTAGCAAAAGCAGTTCTAAGAGGAAAGTTTATAGCAACACAGGCCTACCTCAAGAAACAAGAAAAATCATAAATAACCTACCCTTACCTATAAAGGAACTAGAAAATGAAGAACAAACAAAACCCCAAACCAGGAGAAGTACGGATATAATGAAGTATAGAGCAGAACTAAATGATACAGAAACTTACAAAGCAACAGAACATACAAATGACAACAGGAGTTGGTTCTTTGAAAAGATACAATAAAATTGATAAACCTCTCCCTAGACTCACAAAAAAAAAAAAAAAAAGAAAAAAAAGAAAAGGACTCAAACAATATGAAAGGGGAGAAATAACACCACCACAGAAATACAATTATAAAAGAATATTATGAAAAACTACATGCCAACAAATTAGACAACCTAGAAGAAATGGACAAATTCCTAGAAACATATAGCCTACCAAAAGTGAAAGTAGTAGTGGAGAATTTGAGTGGACCAATAACCAGGAAAAAAAATTGATTATGTAACCCAAAACTCCAAACAAACAAAAGCCCAGGTCCAGAGAGCTCAAGAGGCCAATTCTACCAAACATTTAAAGAAGAGTTAATAATACCTATTCTACTCAAACTATTCCAAAAAATAGAAGGAAATTTCCAAATTCATTCTATATCACCCTGATACCAAACCAGAGAAAGACATCACAAAAAAGGAGAACTGCATGCAAATATATCTGATAAATGTGGATACAAAAATCCTCAAAAAAATACTAGTAAACAGAATCCAACAATACATTAAAAGAAATCATTCACCACAATTAAGTGGGATTTATTCCCAGATGCAAGGGTGGTTCAATATTCGCAAATCAATCAATATGATACATCACATCAATAAGAGAAAGGATTAAAGCCATATGACTATCTTAATAGATGCAGAAAAAGCATTTAACAAAGCACAACATCCAGTCAGGAAAAAAGTCCTTAACAAGGTAGGTTTAATGGATATACCTCAACATAATAAAGGCCATAAATGAAAACCCACAGCTACCAACATTCTCAATTGGGAAAAACTGAGAGCTTTTCCCCTAAGGTCAGGAACAAGATAAGGATGTCCACTCTCACCACTTGTATTCAATACAGTACTAGAACTTGTAGCCACAGGAATTAGACAACAGAGAGAAATAAAAAACTACAATATCACCTCACACCTGTCAGAATGTTGACACTGTTTTTTGACACAAAAACAACAGATGTTGACAAGGATGTAGAGAAAAAGGACCCCTTCTGCACTGTTGGTGGGAATGCAATGTAGTGTAGCCAGTGTGGACACAGGACTGAGGTTCCTCAAAAAGTTAAAAATAGAACTATCCTATAATCCAGCAATCACACTACTAAGTATTTACCCCCTCCAAAAAAAATCCAAAAATGGTAATTCAAAGGGATACATGCAACCCTATGTTTATAGCAGCTTTACTTATAATAGCCAAATCATGGAAGCAGCCCAAATGTCAATGGATATAGATGAATGGATAAAGAAGATACCACACCCACACCCACACACACAGGAGTATTATTCAGCCATAAAAAAAGAATGAAATCTTGCCATGCGCACTGACACGGATGGAGCTAGAGAGTATAATGCTAAGTGAAACATGTCAGTCACAGAAAAACAAATACCATTTGATTTCACTCATTTGTGGAATTTAGGAAACCAGCTAACAAAAAAACGAGCAAAGGGAAAAAGACAGAGACAAACCAAGAAGCTGACTCTAAACTATAGAGAACACACTGATGGTTCCCGGTGGGGGGAGGCAGATATGGGGGATATAGGTGATGGGGATTAAGGAAGGCACTTGTGATGAGCACTGAGTGTTGTATGAAGTGTTGAATCACTATATTGTATACCCGAAACTAACACAACACTGTACATTAACTATAATGGAATTCAAAATAAAATTTTAAAAAGTTAGAACAAACTTCAAATTGGTTAAATTTTAAGAACCTTTGCTAGCTATGTTGCGATGTCTAGCAAAAAAGTATTATTATTATTACTACTTTTATCAGGGTCAGAACAACTTAAGAGTCGAACAATAACACAGTTCTAACTCTCTCAAATCATTTAGAACATGCCCTGACTGAAAATTCAAATGTATAGCTAAGATAATAATAAAAAAACACTAAACTCAGGTTTACTTATGGGACTTTCTAAAACTTGACTCTATTTCCATCATCTGTTTTACTATTTGTAAGAAAGCTTGAGTTTAAAACTACAACAGGATAAATATTTCTACATTGTTCTAAATATTCACACTGGCTTCTAGGACCTTGAATCAAGACAATTATCCATTTCACATTAAAATCTAAAACTCACTATGCTTCACAATGCTCCAAATACAGAGTAGCATTTCTTTTTGAAACCTGGGTTCCAACTTGCAATGCAGAGTGGTATTTCTCCTTATTCTGACAGTTTGATTAAAACTGACACAGAGCTAGTGATGCCTGGGTGGCACAGTCGATTAAGTGTTGGATTCTTGGTTTTGTCTCAGGTCGTCCATGATCTCAAGGTCATGAGATGGAAGCCTGTATCAGGCTCTGAGCTCAGCACAGAGTCTGCTTAAGTTTCTTTTTCCTTCTGCCTCTACCCTTCACTCTCTCCCTCACCTTGGCTAGTGCTCTCTCTCTCTCAAATAAATAAATAAATAAATAAATAAATAAATAAATAAATAAATAAATAAATAAATCATAACAAACTTTACAGCAATTACTTTCCCAACAGAGTAACTGTACTTACGTCAATATCCTCTTGCGTAAAAGTTTCTGGATCTTCTCCCATCATGTTGGCTAAATGTCTCTTTCCTATGTTGAACTCTTCAATCTGCTTTTTAATAAAATCCACTGTGTAAGTTTCACGTCTTAAGGCTGCAACATTTTTCTTCGTTGATACACCTGTGGTGTGCCTTAGCCTTAATATCTAGCAGAAAATATAAATGAAAAGAGAAAAGATTTTAAATTAAATAATGTAATTATTTACATTATATTTACCTTACAATGTAATTAAACTGTGATTAACTTAGATTTTAAATTAAATAATGTAATTATTTACATTTACATTACAATGTAATGTCTTGTAGGCTATTGTCTCTAAATAAAACAGGGTGTTCAAACAATTGTTTTTATTATAGTACTCAGTTGGCAAGAGTCTGGAAACAGGTAAAAGGCCTGTTAAGAAAGCTGTTAGGGATCCCTGGGTGGCGCAGCGGTTTGGCGCCTGCCTTTGGCCCAGGGCGCGATCCTGGAGACCCGGGATCGAATCCCACATCAGCCTCCCAGTGCATGGAGCCTGCTTCTCCCTCTGCCTGTGTCTCTGCCTCTCTCTCTCTCTCTCTCCCTGTGTGACTATCATAAATAAGTAAAAATTAAAAAAAAAAAAAAAAAAAGAAAGCTGTTAGAAATCTTCCTCCACTCAAGGGACACCCGGGTGCCTCAGCGGTTGAGTCAGCCTTCGGCTCAGGGCGTGATATGGGAGTACCAGGATCAAGTCCCACATCGGGCTCCTTGTGTGGAGCCTGCTGCTTCTCCCTCTGCTTGTGTCTCTGCCTCTCTTTCTTCCTGTTGGTCATAAATAAAGAAATAAAATCTTAAAAAAAGAAAGAAAAGAAAAGAAGAAAGAAAAGAAGAAGAAGAAAAGAAATCATCCTTCACTCAAAAGCTAGCTTTTAAAAGCCTCTACTTACACAGTAGTTTAAACTACTAGCATTTCACACATTTAAACCCAAAATACCTAGAAGTGATAAGAAAACATCCTTATCTAATGCAAATATCCACATTTCATACTGATTGGTCAATGTCAACTACTTGTGATATTTGACACACAGGCAATGAAGAGATGACACTCCCTTTGAAAAGAAGTAAATGCCCTTGCAGACAGACAGCAAGCAGAGGACAAAGGAGAAAAGAGGCATGTACTGGAGAATAGCACACTTGGGCTATAGGTAGTCATCTTGCTTTAGGGTACAAATACAGCTCATCTTTCAAGGCTTTAAAATAACAATTTAGCTTAGCTTGAGACTATTTTAAGCTGATGCAGTGAAGAAACTGCTTCACTAAGCACTGACAAGCTTTATCATTAATTTGGTTCAATACACTAACTTACAGAAATAAGGGCTTTCCCATCCTTCTAAATTATCAGTAATGATATCACTTGCCGCTGTTGATCCTTCTATGCTATAGCACTAGGAATTTCCCCCCAAGGCATAAATAGTTCACCTGCAATAAAAGGTGCTAAGGAACCAGAAAAATGTTTTCAAATGACTATTTAGCCACATTCAGTAGATGGATATAACTAGAATAGATATTCTTGGTCCTGGTTTTTCTCAAAATCTTAATCTGTGGTTCTCGACCATTATCCCAGCCTCAACAACGTTAGCACTCTTAAGCAATTCAGACCTTAACTCTAATTTTTAGTAACTCCCTCACTTACCTCTTCATCAACAAACAAACCTCTCTCGCACATACCACCACCACCACCATCCTTCACTCATCCATTCCCTAACCCTTTGAGAATCAGAGATTCAAATAACTATAATAATTTGTCACTGTAGTTACAATAAAAAGTAAAAGAAAAAATACAGAACAAATATTATAATGCTCTATTAATAGTAAAAATTATGTTCTTAAACTCTCACAAATCAAAATAGTGATAAAATTATTTCTTGCAACTCCTTAATGAGTAAAATAAGGTAATTTAGAATCCCATGAAACTTTATAGTTTATTTTTCCTTGGGGAGCACAAAGGAGTTTCTTTCTTCATATTATTAATCAAGAATCTTAAGATGTTTTTATAAAGATACAGTGTCACTATCAGTGAGTAAAAACATGATCCAAACTTGCTTACATATAGCCTCTTTGTACACTCCTAGTCCTGCTCCCTCTCCCCACAGTTAGTGCCAACAGCATCAAATCCTTGTCTCAGGAGTTTTTCCATCTTGTTTTTACTTTTCCCAGGGTTCTGCTTCTGTGTGTGTGTTTCAATGATTTCATGTTTTCTTTGAACACTGGAAGATGTTGCTTCCTGTATTCAAAATGAAGAGAAAATACTGATCTGCCCCCAAGAATCATGGCAAAGGTATGGATTTGGAGAAAGTAGCTGTCACGCAACAGAGGTGATTTTCCTCAATGTTCCACTGCCAAAAGGATGATTACACTGCTGGTTTTCTAAGTCACATGACAAAATGTTTTTGTCCATAACCAAAACGATTTGTAATACAGGTGACCCCACTACACTTGCCACCAACCACCAATCACAGCCCTCAGGAGAAATGAGTCTCCCAGTGAATATGAGACTTCCATTCACTGAAGTAATGAGTTCTAAAGGAACAGTAAGATAGGGAGGAAAGTGATGAGTTCAATTTGGGGCATGACAAGTTTGAGATGCTTGATGGGCATCTCCAGAGAGATAGGTGTCCTGGAGGCAGATGGCTCTGTGGGTATGTACACAGGAGAGATCTGAGCTAGAGATGCCGTCTGTTAATAATCAGCATGGGACATGACATGACACCATCAAAGTAGGGGGAATGGCAGGCATTCGTGTTAGGATAAGAAACATCTATTTTACTATGCAAAGAAACAACATAGTTTGTGAGGGAAAACAGACGGAAAGGTAAGATTACTTATGTCTTATGGCCATTATTTTTATGAAACAGGACATGAGATGGGTCTGCAGAGTAAGAGGTGACAGGTTTGATGAACTGAATACTTCATGTTCAAAAAGCAATGATACAGTGGTTATAAAGTAGACAGTAAAATTAAAGAAAGAATATTAGAAAAAAATTTTAAGCACTCCTTTATACTGGATGTGAGCCAGAAAAAAATACCAAAGAAACAGTTATGAATCTATATCCATACAATAGCTTTAATCTTAATTATCTTTTCATTTCTTGTATTTTTCCTTTGTATGTTTCAGTGGTATATCCAATGTACTAATTAGCTGAAGAGAGTTCTATCTTAAGGCAGATTGTACCCTTCAAATTATAAAGTGTTGCACTCCTAGGCAATACTTTTACCTTGAATTTCATTCTGTTGGATCGTAATATTGCAACCCTTTCGGACTTCCATTTGCCTTTCCCTGGAATATCACTGACCATATTTTTCATTTAAATTTTAAATCACTTTAGCTTTTGTCTTTTGGGCCAATCTGAGTTTTTTACAAATATGAGAATACCTTATTTAAATGGATTTAATAGATATTGTCACATTTCCCATCTTATTTTATTTTTGTATGCTTCCTTTCCTGTTTTCTTTCTTTTGCTAAATGGTCTGCAGTTTTTTTATATTTGTCTTTTGATCCAGCAATTTGGACATCACACAGCCTTTCATTTTAGTAGTGATTACCTATATGTCTCCAAATAAAATGCTTAAGATTATTTCTCCTATCAACCTTAGAAAGTAATACTCACCAACTCTCACCTACTTACTATTCTCTTCTCCGACCACAGAGGTGATCTGGTTTCCTGTATTCTATCTCCGTTCTCCCAGTCTTATTTATCCCTTTGTTCTGCATTATGAATGATGTTTAAATCTATACTCCTGGGGTTTTTTTTTGTTTTGTTTTCTGCGGTGTCAATTCTGCAGCCACTCTGAATTTTTAGCTTTTTCAATCACTGGTCTATCTCCAAATATCTTCCCTTAACCGTTTTATCAATCATATTTTCTTGTCTTATCTCCTATTTCATATAGCTCTCCCTTACCCAATCTTTTAAGAATGTCCTTGACAGTGTGAAGCAGTTATAGTAAAATAATTCTTCCATTTTGTTGAGTAAATATTCCTTTGTGTTTTCTTCATCTCTCTCTCTCCCACAGTTCCTTTTCTTCTTTTGTTCTGACAACTAGTATTACCTCAAGCAAAAGAGTTGATTATTAGCTTGAAGATTCATTTCTTCACTTGAATTAAAATTATCTTGTGTCTAGATTCTTAAGACTCTGTGACATGTGGCAGCTTTCTCAGTTTTAACATAAATGATGCTTAAAAACTAAAATTTTTTATTGTTCATTTAGAAAAGGCTTTTTTAAAAAGTCCACACGTTGCTATTTTTCAATCTCCTTAGGATCTTTTCAAAGACATTTGTATACACTGCCTAAGAATGTGACATTCTGGAATTCATATTTATTCTAAAACCATCACAGCATCAGTACCAGACTACTGAATATATTTATAAATATTCTAAATTATTCCAGCAGTGATTCACACAAAAATATTTACATTCAATAGAGTCCATTATTCATTAGCACAATCCATTAAGTAAGATAAGGCTGAATGTGAATCGACTAGATCTTTAGCTATGAACAGCTAGAATTCCTGGAGAGAACATGCTTCACTACTGTTAAGTACAAATCCCCAACAAAATTTTCTACAGGTTCTGTTTCCAACTGAAAAGCTATGACAGAGAATTTTCCTCACACTTTGTTTTTATGGACTGGTATAGATACAACTTGACAGATTTGTTTCTTTTTTAAGATAATCAGTGGGTCAGACAACTATAATTTCAATCAAGCGGGTTGCCAAAGAAGCAGACATATCCTGACAGAGCAGTGATGTCCCAAATCTGGCCAAATGCCAGTGCCACACACTACTTTTAATGATATTACGAGTACTCAGGAGTTTCCTTTTTGTTCAATTGGATAAAAATGGAACAAAGAAGAAGCTGCTGCTAATCTGAATAGAAAAGGCAAAAGAAAAAATACTTGGAGGATTCAAAGAATAGGGAAAGACTAAAGTCATATTAGAGAAAACATGGATAGAAAGAAACATTAGAAGGACACCGAGAGAGAGAGGACAGTAAGTTTTTTTTTGAATGAGTTTATATTTTTATCAACTAGAGATCTCTGGATGCAAGCAAAAGAATATGACTTTGCTTAAGCAAAAGAGACATTTCTTAGAAGAGTAACAGGGGCCCAGGACTATACTTGAAGCAG